GTGAATATTTCTACAGCACAACTGAGAGAGACTATCTAGTTAGGAGTTAGACTAGGAATGTCAGTGGTCGTCTATTGATGCAGGGCTTTACCTTCTAGTTGTACTATACCAGCCATCTATTTCGTATTTCGTATTTCGTATCCTGTATTTCATATTTCGTATCTCTTATATATTGTTGTTATTTTTATTACGCATTTTTATGGTACTAATATATCATCTCCTATTGCTTTTTTTGAGCCGAGGGTCTCCTGGAAACAACCTCTCTACCCTTCGGGGTAGGGGTAAGGTCTGCGTACATATTACCCTCCCAGACCCCACTTGTGGGATTATACTGGGTCGTTGTTGTTGTTGTTGTATTCGAAATGGGATTATTTATTGATTTTATCAGAGTCGCCACTTAGAATAGTTTATTTTGGTGTCCCAAGTCACTGGTTTAATATAAATCCCAAATCGAGAAAATTTCGACTTTATTTTAAAAGTCTGCGAACCAGAAATTCTAGATAAGGAATTCTGTTAACCCGGGAGAAGGTTTTAGTAATTCCCGGATTCCGTGGTTCTAGCACGGTCGCTTAAACTATTAATAATTGGCCTAATTATCTGATTAATTACGTGTTTTAAAACTATTGTGCATTTTAGCTTTTGTAACCGCTTTAATTATTTTAAAACTGCTTTTAGGAAGATTCAATGCTATTTAAAATACGTCTCAAGCCACGCTACATGAAATGTACCCACGGCTCGCGACACGTTCTATTTAACATTGTTGAGAATTGGGTCACATGAAATGTACATCCGAATTTAGTAATTAAAAATTACAACTACGTCACGGGAACCGTACCTGTAGCTATGATGAATTTTTTAAAGAACGCACCTAAAGCAACTACGAAGGTTCGAATTTGGAAACAACATTTGTGAGGGGCATGGATAATTTAATTTATGACACGCCTCGAATTTTTTCTATAAGAGTTAACTAGTTTTATGAGGGACATGAGCTAAGGGATTTGTTTGGCATGGCACACCTCAATTGATTTTAATAGAAGTTTATTTAATTAATGCCATCTAAGGATATTCTTATTTGAAACTAACCTAAGGTTAAGCCTAAATCTATTAATCATCCGTGAATTTATGGTGCGTTCGCTAGACCTTTAATCGTTTGGGCAAGTGAAATTGGACTAGAAGTAGCCCGTTACGTCATGGTCAAAGATCCATCAGCATCTTTAAAGCTGCCTTGGGCTTGGAATTTAGCCCAGAAATGAGGAATTTAGGAAGCCTTTGCTGCACCTGAATTTGAACGACGTTTGGCCCGTACTGGGCTTGTGTTAGGCGGGCCCATTTACTATATGTTTTCTAATTGGGCCTATCCACCTTTACACTTAACTAAATCTGCCTGTTTATAACTAAAGCATTTCAATTATTTCCTAAGTAAAGAATTCAGGACATCAAAAGTCAAACGTATTTTCTAATCTTGAAAGTTAATCGACGATTTACAAAATAAAAAAAGCATACACTTATATCATAAAAAAAGCCTGAATTTTGGGCTTTGGTCCCAGGCCCAAAGGCCTAGGTCCAGATTTGCTCGAATGAATCCAAACTTGGGCCTGGTTGCAAGTCTGGCCCAGTTACAACTATAAGACATGTTTATAAAGAGAAAAAGAGGGCTAATTGTGGTGACCCTGTACTAATAAAATCAACGAAAAAACTAAATTTATAAAAAAAATAAAAAATTATAACAGTCCCTTTACACAGCTGAAAGTCCATGAATGTACAAAATAACTAATAGTCTATCATTTCAACAATTTATCATGCTAATGTCCAAGAGAAAACTAAAAAAAAATAATCAAAAGGAAAATCTTTTCCCTTAATTTCTGGTTTTCTTCTGCCTCCAGGTCCTTCAAACAGGGTGCCAACTTGCAAGGATTTAGCTATGGAGCTGTTCCTCACAAGTAGATACTTCAAACTTCCAGCTTTGAGATTGTTTGATTTTTGGCTATTCTCACACACACAAAAAAAAGAATGCAGATTTCAGTGTGATAAAGATTCATTTAACTAGTATATCTTTGGGTAAGCAATTTAGAAAAGAAGGAGGGAGGCTACTTCAGTAGTTATAGGTCTAGATTCAAACCCTTCTTGCTTTTATTTTAGATAAGAACTTAACTAAATAGACTACTTTAATACCCTAGTGAAGTGATATATTAACACATTTAGAGGAATCATGTTCATTAAAGCAAACAAATGAGCTAATAAAGCATTTAGAAATTCAGTTTTGTATTCAACCACTCCAAACAACTGGTTACAGGAGGTGCAAGAAACATACATAGGCGTAGAAACTAACCGAGAAAAGACCAAATAAAGGTCAAATGGCCAATGTAGAAATATCTCAGCTAATCAAACACACAACCACTTAGGCAAAAACCAGCCTTGACAGTGCAAAAAACCTAACACACGAGCAGCAATATCACAACATCAAAACTCAATCCATCTTCTAGACAAGAAACCTAGGAAATTTTAAAAGTGAAAAACTTTGGGTATTCTTTCAGGTTATTAGAAATCTGGTTTTTCAGAAGTGTTATGCATAGAATGATGCTCAAATATCCGTGAGAGTAAGGGAAATCGTTTCTTTATATAAAGTGTCCAAAAAAAAGCATTTAGGGATTATTCTACCCTAAATTCCTAGCTAGTACAACATTTTTTGCAGTGGATAAAATGTCCAGTTGTCTATTTTCAGCATCTTTTGAAACTAATTTGGACAGCTGGTACACTTTCTAGAACATTCTGATATTTTTTCAATGTAAAAGTCCAGTTTTAACCTTTTAATGTCTGTTTATTTCATTTCTACCTAAACTTTTGGTTCAGTTAGGTCCCTAAGTTTCTACTGATTTCAAAACCATGACAAACAAAGGCAAGCCTAAAAGGGATTGGGGATTTGAATCAAAGGTGTCTAAAAAAAGAACAAATGGCTGCAATTAATCAGAAAAACAAAAACATTTAAACTAGTTAAATCTTAACAATGCTGAATTCTAACACCTATGGTGTCTATAATTAAATAGAATCACTAAGGCTAAAAGACCTTAAACCAATTTGGAACTAACAAGGAGGAAACTGTTACACCTAATTAAACTAACTCATGTAATTGACTAATAAACTTTAACATGCTTTGACCAATTTGCTAAATAAGAACAAATAATTAAACTAAACAGCTATGAAATAAGGAAAAGCTAAAACTAAAAAATCCTAAAATATACAGCTAATGGAAATAATTAACATAAAAACAAATTAATTATAACAAGGTAAAAGTAAACAGAAAGAAAAAGGAAATTACCTAAAATTGGATTTTGTTATGAACTTGGCCAAACTTCAAAAGGCATAAATGAACGCTAATCACCATTAATCGTCTGTTCTTAACAAGAACAATCGACTAATGAATATTTTAGTTTATTTGACCAAGCACTGATCAAGAGAAGAAGAAAGAAAGAATTAGGGTTCTTCCGGAATCTGAGATTTGAAATTCGACTAGATTGGGGCTGATTTGATGGGGGCTAAGGGTGGTTTGGGGGTTCAGATAGGGCAAGGATTATAGGGTGTGAGTTTGGAGTGATTTGGATCAATTAGGGTTTTGGCCGGATTTTTCGATCTAAAATTCGTAGAACTCGGCAATGATTCGAAGGAAACTAGTTGGAGATTGGGAATGAGGAGGCTGTGGGGGGTTCCGTGGTGTAATTTTGGGGAGGTTTGGAGTGACAGCACTGCCATTGGAGATTTTCGGTGGGCGGTCTGTGATGGAGCCGGTGAGGGGTAAGAGAAGGTGATAGAGATGAAGTGAGGGGTCTTTTGGGGGGTAGGGGTTCCGTTCGGATAGTTATAAGGGAGGGGAAGGGTTAGTTCTCAGCCGTTGGATCATAAGAGATCAACAGCTGAGATTAAAGCTAGCAAACGACGCCCTTTTATTTTGACGGGGGTGGACCAGGTGGATTTAGTTTTGGGCTTGGGTTGTGGGTCCTTTGGGATCGGATCTAGGGCCTGATTTAGGTGTAAAAATGACCCAATTTCAAAAATAAACCTCTTCTTCAATTCTTTATTTCTAATTTTTCCTTTTTCTTTATTAAAAATCCTACAATTAAAAATCCTAAATTACCTAAAAGTGTGAAATTAAATTAATTACCTAATTACAAAAATTATAAACATCACTTAATTCTAAATTAAAAGATAGCTATCAATAAACTAAAAAATTAAAGACAAAAATGTAAAAATGTATTTTCGTGATTTTCAAATTTCTATAAAATAAATAATTACCGATTAATTCTAAAAATGTAAAAGCAAATCCTAAATGCAATGCATGATATTTTTTGGTATTTTTCCATGATTTAAAAATTAAACATACACAGAAATGCAAATAATTAAGAAAATTCTACAAAAATTCCTAAAATGGCAAATAATTAACAGAAAACCTATTTTCTCAGGATTTTATAGGAGTATTTTATATAAAGCAAAAATCACATGCTTATAGCTGCCCATCTTTGCTCAGAAACATGAAGATTTTTCGGGCAAAGATGAAATGAGCAATTATGAGGGATTTTTGCCTGTTCAAAACTCCATGAGAAGCATCTTTTGAAAAAACCTGACTGAACCTTGATTCGGAGGTTGCCTACATATCCTTGGCTACAAAAGAATCGGGTCAGTGTAGTTTTAGAAGTTTTGGTAGCTGGGACTATCGGTAAACTGTGATTTCACTGCTGTTGCTGCTGTTTCTGCTTGCTGAGCTCCTTATTACACCAAAATGAAATATGAAAAGCTAAACTAGCTAAGCCTATCAACTATAAGTTACAAGATTCCTATCTATAAACCTTCAAAAGCTTGATCTTGAGTCTTGGTCAGCTCTTCCCATAGACTCTGATCTGAATTTTGATGCTTGTTAGCTGCAACTGCTGGTTCATTCTTCAGCTTTTCGGATCAAGGCAGGACATACAAAACTTATGACTTCAATCGAATTTGGAGTGGTCCGCATCTTTTCTCTGCTTCTGCACTTTGAGTTCAACTTCTTTTCTTATTTCTTCTTTTCTTTTATTTGGGTTGTGACTTCTTCGTTTGGTCATCTGAAACCTTGTATCTCACGGTGAAAACCTGTTTAGGCACCAAAGCAAACAAACGAACAAAATTTGTTTGCTCCAGTTTTCACTAGGAAAAATTTCGTGAGTTATTGTAACAAAATCTAAACTATTTCTTTATTGAAAGCAATTAAATCAGGATTGTGTATCTTTGGAAAAAAGAGATTAGGAAGTGGAGCCCTATTTCTATACTAAAATCAACTAGGGAATGGAGACCCTATTTGGAAAAGCGACTAGGGAGTTGAGACCATATGTCTAAAATATACTCAACTAGGGAGTGAAGACCCTAAGTTGGAAAGGCGACTAGGGAATGGAGACCCTATGTCTAAAATAAACTCAACTAGGGAGTGGAGACCCTATGTTGGAAAGGCGACTAGGGAGTGGAGACCCTATGTCTAAAATAAACTCAACTAGGGAGCGGAGACCCCATGTTGGAAAAGCGACTAGGGAGTAGAGACCCTATGTCTAAAATAAAATCAACTAGGGAGTGGAGACCCTATGTTGGAAAAGCAGACTAGAGATTGGGGACCCTAGGCTACCATTTTTGAATTTTTCTTCTTATCTCTTTTTTCTTTCATTTTGTTTCTTTTTTTTTTCATGGAATGAGTAAATGCGGGAAAGAGTTTGGAGGGCACTTTCCTTTATGGATCGTTGCTGCAAAGTTGTTTTTAGCCCTTGCGCAGTTTCTTTTTGGTTACACCTGCTTCTTGCAAGGTTGCCTAGGATTGCACCTGTTTCATATTTTCAAACAAAGAACAATGGTTAGTTTGAAATGGTGTTTGGTTTTGTGGCCTTGATCTTGGCCCAACTTTTTTGATGAAAACCTCTACTGCTCGCCGGCTTTCTGGAGATCGATCTCTCTTCTAAAACCAGAGATCTTGACTTTCCCAAAATTTTACATTATGGTTCACCCGTGTGGGGCTTTAGCCTTTTCATCTTATTCTGCCTTTATGGGCACTTGACTTTGGATTTCTTTCCTTTCCAATAAATTTGGACCTGGAGCATCGACCATCATGGTCAGTCAAGATCGACTTGATGCACCTGTTGAGGCTGGGCGCTTTTCTTTGGATTAGAATTTTGTTAAGCAGAACCCTGCAAACCAATCTTGCCATCTTTTCTTTGTTTTAGTTTTGGAGAAGAATTAAACCAAAAGGGCTTCAAAGAAAAGTAAAGAAAGGACAGGAAAATGATTTAAAGAGAAGTGTCTCTTTCAGGGGAGGAAAAAAGGACTTATTCTGAGTGCATGCAGACTTCAATAGACATGACATTCTTCTTGTACTGGATACCCGATCTGTGCAACTATCCAACTTCTCATAAACCCATTATGATCTGTGTTTTAAAACCCAGAAACCTTGCTAGGACTCTTTTAGTGCCAATGGTTGTAAGGGATTCCTTCTTTTTGATCAATGGTGCCCTTTGCCAGTTTTCGCCAATTGACCTCTCTCATTTCTCTTCTCACCATCGCCTTATAGTGATCTTTACGAGTTTTTACTAATAAGACTCTCTTATTTTTCAGTTTCTCTGCTCATCATCACCTTATGGTGCCCGTGTGGGTTTTCACCAACAAGACTCTCTCATTTTATTTCTCTCATTTGGTTGTATCAGTTCCAAACAAACGCTTTCTACGACTCTTGAACTCTTTCACCGATTAATCAGAAAGGCTTGAACAGGATTTGGGGTAAAAAGAGTTTGGATTGAATTACAACTTTGGAACCTTTTTGGTGAACCGTCACCAAACCATTATAGCATCTGCCCCAGTTTCACTTTTCGGGGGAATTGGGATTTTTGTTTTGCTGTGACTGAAATCTAGAGAGAGGCTGCCTATGTATCCTTTCGGAATCAAGTCGAACATAGTTCAGGGAAACTTTTTTTTTCAACAACGTTTTCAGGTTCCAAAGAGGGTAATCAAAGAAAAGTAACCGGATCAAAGGGTTAGCAAAAGGGTTGAAGTGTTTGGAGTAGCGAGAATGAAGGCCTTTGCCATCTCAATCGGATAATATTGTTGCTACAACAAGATTAAACATAATACCTTTTGATTGCGTCTGCATTTACAGCTGTTTCGGGGTCATTTCCTTTAATGTCTCCCAAGTACAACGCCCCTTTTGGCAACAGTTTTCTAATAATCTATGGGCCTTTCCAATTAGGAGCGAACTTTCCTTTTGCTTCCTTGTGATAAGGGAGAATACGCCTCAAAACGAGTTTCCCGACTTCAAAGTTCCTAGACCGCACTTTCTTGTTGTAGGCACGGGCCATTCTTTGTTGATACAACTGCCTATGGTAAACTGCGGCCATCCGCTTTTCGTCAATCAGGGTTAACTGTTCTAGACGGGCTTGACCCACTCCTTATCCTCAATTTCAGCCTCAACAATGATTCGAAGAGATGAAATTTCAACTTCTACAGATATTATGGCTTCAGTGCCATAAACCAATAGATATGGGGTTGCTCCTACTGATGTGCGCATAGTTGTGCGATATCCTAACAATGCAAACGACAACTTTTTATGCTATTGCCTAGAACTTTGGATCATCTTCCTAAGAATC